TGATCATCTATTTCAGTACTAGCCATGAGAGCATTTGGTGGTGTTATTGCATGGTCAACCAGAACATGAGGACTATTAATACCCATCACATTTTCACCTTGTCCTCTATATGAGTTATAGCAAATGTCACCTTATACATGTTGAGCATGAAGTATAAGGCAAAGACCTGAAAATATTGGTCACAGTCAGTAAGAAATCAGTTGATATCCTCAGACACTCTTCTGAAAGAGCAGAGCTCACATATGAAGACTGACTTACAATTGAGAATAGTGGCATCAGCTGCAAGTGCCATCATTGGATTTGGGATTCCACTGAACAGTGGGATATTCCAAGATATCAGAGACCCTGAGAAGAAATGGAAAGAGCCATTGTCAGCGATGAGACTCCCTAGTGGCAGTGCCTTCCTGTGCACTATATGTCTATTCTGAATGGTAAATCCAAGTTCAATTGCCTTAGGATCATTGACCTTAAGAGAAGGTGCTTCTAGGGCCTTCTTACTCTCACTTCCTTCAGCTTCATCTAGTGGTGGTTGTCCAGCAAAGGGTTGATGCATTGGTTGGGCCCATGAGTTCTAGTATAAATCTCAGGGCTAGAGTCAGCTTTGCATGAGCCAAGATGCCATGCTGCAGACAGCAGATATGGTGAACATATACTGAGAGGATTCAGATCAGAGTGAGGGTGCTATGTAGATGGCTCAGCTTGATGCTACACTCAGCATCTATAGCATAGGTTCAATATTGAACCTTGACTTATATGCTGGTAATAGCACTAGTTGATATCCTAAATATTTTTCATTATAAATAAAAATGGCCTGCTCTGTAGCTATATGTTGAATAATATCTATATGCTTAATCCTGTCAGTGGTGGTATATCTTAGTCCTATAGGTGACACCAACCAGGTGTCATCCTTCTATAGCATGGCTGCTCCTTTCTGATACAGTCATAAGAATTCTCTCTGGTGCTCTGTCTGTGCTCTTCTTGCTAATTCCTTCTTCATCAGATGTTGCATGAATATACTCTCCCATTCAGAGAGGTGATCTCCCTCATCAACCTCACTGTCCATGGCCTCCTTGTCCTCTTCAGTTAGGGAACTATCATTGAGCAGGTCATAGACCTCCAGGATGTTGGGTTGAGTCACTATCTGGCTGCTGATGGCTGAGTCCTGCATCCTCAGATCCAGGGCAAGAAGAAGGCTCTCTCCTTTGCTGCTTCTTGATGGCCTTGGTCCTTGCTGCTTCTGCCATCACTGCTCTGTGATATCAGCAGAAGTTTCAGTAGAATCAGGATCAGAGAAAGAGGGACATAAGATGTTCATTCAAGACCCACTTAAAGTCTCCAGTGGGGTCAATGCTCTCTTCATCTCCTCTGAGGTCCCCACCATGACTAGGTAAGTCTCTGTCTCAGCCTGGAATATCATCAGTGTTGGCAATTGAATTGGTCTCATATGATAGCAGACAGTCATTATCAAGGTCGAGTGATGCTTATTGGTGGACATTATCTGTGTGAATGACACTCTCAGAGGGTTCTGTCTATGGGTCTGACTTAGAGATGATGGGCATGCTGGGTTCTTGGAAGAGAGAAGGAGAATAGAGAGTACAATCAGTGATAAAGATTCCAGGGCTCTCTGAGCCTCTTCTCCAATCTGTGCAGTCTCAAGCCCAGAGGTACTGTCCAAAGAGAGTATCCTCTCAAGCTGCTTCATACTCAACCTGTGTCTGCTCTCTGACATACTCAGCAAGAGAGTCATTGTGTTGAACTTCATTCTCTGGAGGGAGGACTGGGTTGACAGTGTCAGTTGGTTATACTGGGCTTAATGGATCTGGTACACTTCTAGCTTGGTGAGTTGTGTGGTGTCTCTCATGCTGCTCTAGTCAATCAGCTTCTCTGGCAGCTGCTCACTAGTATCTTTCTTCTGCCTCATAGTTGTAGGCATAAAATGAGTCATCAGTTCTGATAACTCCCATTCTGTTTCCCTCACTGTCAGTGCTTTAGTTTCCAATGTATATTTCAGTGAGGATACTCTCTCTGCTTCCTATGGGCATTGCATATAAGAATCCATGATTGCTGTTACTAGGGGGACTTCCATTCCCTTAAGCCACCTCAGGGGCATCAAGGGAGTCTCTGGCATATCATCCAATGCTAAGCTCAGAGAGTGTAGTTAAGAGGGTAGCCCTCATCATAAGAACATGACTAGTGATGTCCAGATGCTTGACATATGGGATAGATGTGTTGGGCCTTGGTCTTCAAAATTCTGTAGCCCAAGAGTTTCCAGCATTTCAGATGACTGCTATCATGGGTTTGGGCAGGTATCAGTACTACTCTTCTTCTTTTCTAAGATGCTCTTCAGGCATGTCTCCAGAGACAGTTTCAGATATGATTCTTTCTGTGGGCTGAAAGGACTGTCTGGCAGAGGGAGGAATGTCATGGAGGGGGAGGTCAGGGGTGATATTTCATAGAATATATCAAATATGCTGAAATTCTTAATAATGATGGATCATCCAGGCAGTAATTGATTAGTGTCTATAGCACAGCTATATGATTACCAATAAACCTATCAGTGTTCTGATGATAAAAGCAAGGAGTTCAAAGAACTCATAGGTAAAGTTTGAGTCAGAGAGATTAAGCATGGGGGGCATTTGGTTTCTCAGCACAATTAGGCTTGAGAAAGAAAAGCTAAAAGCTTCAAGCTAATTGTTAAACTCAAATAATATGTGATCTAAACACATGATAAACTGACACTGTCTTGCACTTCAGACAATGATATCAGACTTCACTGATTGTGTTATGTGGCTCTGTATCTCAAGGCCTTTAGATTGGCTTGAGATAAGATAGTGAAGAAATAAACTTTAGCTTGAAGCTGGGGATAATACAGTGAGAGCTATGCTACTTATATACTAGTCATCATCCATTCTATAGATATAACTATCTAATTGTGCATCCTGACATTATAGAGCATTTTGTCCAGTGTCATTAAGCTACCTACAAAAGGGTATTGTCTGTCATTGAGCAGTTACTGTCACATCAAAGGACAATGACTGACTGGGCATGTTGTGCTGACTAAGCCCTGGTCTCATGATCCTAAGCACTGGTCTAAGCACTCTGACTAAGCAAAATAGGGATTAATCCCTTGAATAAAGAATAAAAAGAGGAAAAATCATAACAAATGAGACATAACAACAGGACAATAGTCATCTGTAGAGTGAAGAGCTTTTTTGGACAGTATTTAAAACAATAGTATACAGCAATATATCCTAGTCTTGAGCTAAGGTTAATGTTGAAATTTAGGTGCTGATGATTTGGGAGGCATATTGAACTCAAAAGAAAGGTATATTCTATTATACAGAGTAGAAACAATGGAGGTTCTCAGTCAAGTCAATAGGTATGAAAATGTCAAAGTATAAAGTAAGCAGTAAATATATATAAATAGAATGTGACATTAAAGTTGTGAAAACCAAATCTCAACATAATATACTGATTAAACTCTTTGCCTCTCAGTGTGACTATCACTCCAGTATGTTGGATTAGCAGCTCTGTTGTATTCCACTGGCTAAGCTCAATACCCCTTTATGTCAGGATGGACAATATATACTGAATACCATCTGTTGAGCACTCTCACTGCATTTCTGCTTATCACTATGCTGTGTGGAGTCTATGTTATATCTAACAGTGTATTCTACTAGATGCTACAAATGCATATCACTTTCTTAGACAGTACCAACACTGGTGGTCATAGTCCACCAATCTCTCTATTTCATCCCTCTTATCATCATCTTATATCTTCTCATCATTATCTTTCTGCTTTATCATCAGTTAGTGTCAGACTCTGATGGTTGCAGTGCTGAGTATTTGTGATTGTTTGGTCATTGCCTGACACTTAGAAGGGTCTGGATACTATTTCTATAGACTTCTGACTGCAATATCACATGGATGATCATGCTCAGACTTTGGGGCTTTTGTTGATGGAAGCTGCATGGGAGATCATGGACTTGGTTCTCAGCCTGAGTTAACCATGACACAGCAAGTCTCACCACTTGAGACTCAAACTCTGCATGAAGATCAGACAAGGATGGAATCATTATAGGGCCTTTTGCAATGTCTGTGGTGGTGGCATCCCAATATTAGGCCTCAGACTAAGGTATCTGTGTAGTATGTATGTATTAGTGTCTTCCACTTGTTCTGAACTCTTCCTGCATGCTTTGTTTGTATTTCATCCATAATATGAATCACTGCAGATGCTGGTGCATTTCTGATAGCTTAAAATGGGACCTTAAAAGGTTTTAATTTTAGCATCAGTTTTTATATTTTTGTTTTAAGTGCTGTGAAAAGAAAAAGTACATCAATTCTATTGTTTCATAGAGGAAAAAGCTTTTCATACCATTTCTGAGAAAGGCTTTGCTGAACCAAAACCTTAAAAGGTTTTGTTTTTTACCAGCTAAAATGCACTGACCTCTGCTGTGAATTGTTGTCTTTTGCACTCATTCCAGAGCATTTATTGCTATTCAGGAATTACAACTGAGGCATACCTTCATGGCCATGACACTGTCCTCCTACATGCTTCTGTTGAGTAAGCTACATGCTGGATCCCTTACACCTTTGGCAGCACAGCCAATTGAAGCACTTGGCCAATGTTGTCCAGAGCCTCTGAGTCATCCCTCTACTGATAAACATGAATTCATGTGGGACCTACATACTTATTAATGAATTATCATTGAGGCAGCCCAGATCCACTCCCCATCTATGAATCAATGTGAGTTCACCACAAACCTCAACATTTGAATAAAAATTGACCACCTGATTGACATGTTCAATATGGCCTTATCAATGTTTCCACTGGCATTGTCTGTCTAGGAGGAAGGGTTAACAATGTAGCCTGCACAAGACACTTTTCTCCCTTGGTAAAGTATCAGTGTATAATGTTCACGCATCTATAGAACAGGTTCGGTCGCGCCGGTTACTAGCACGTGATCGTACCATATGACGGAGTTCAAATTATGTCCGAGCTCGTCCCTGCCAGTACCACGTCGCGCAGGCGGCTCTTCTCATGAGTCCTACCTCCAGATTCCTCATCGACAGTCTCTCCCTGGGCGCCAGTGCCTTCGTATATTGCCGACCTTACAGTGCTATCGATTTTATTCCTCGCCGGCACCTCTCTTCGCGCATTGGTTTTGGGGTACGGTCTCGTTTTCTCTTTTGACACATATAACCAACGTTTCCAGCCAAAACACATCCGGACTCGTGACAACTATCGCATCATCTCGACATTGGACGTTGCACGTATCAAGGATACCGACATCCATGATCTCTCCTTCTTCAAAAAGCCTCGCATTCAGACTATCGTGAAGAAGAAAAAATCTTCGTTCCGGGTCGACTACGCCACGGATGTACTGCACGAGTCTTCAAAGTATCTCGTATTTCCTCCAAGGACAGAGGGATTCTTCTACTACCACCAGCAGCACGATTCGTTGCCGGGTGAAGTGCGGTTTAGTCTTGCGAACGCGGGCGACACCGGTACGGACATGGACCTTCTGCTGCCTAATGGCTTGCCATGGTCGCTTCCACTGTGGTATATTGCCTCTGCTCCCAAGTATGAGACTCTGTTGCAAAAGCTCATCGAGGATGGTTTAGTGAGCTCTGAGCTGGTACAAAGGTGCAGGTGGATGTTTCCCCTGGCGTGGGCACGCAGGAGGAAGAGGGCAACGGTGCTAATGAGGTGGGATGACATGTTCGCTGTACCTTTTGATGCGAAGTGTACGAAGCTATGGATAACAGGGGAGAAGGCGAAGAAAGAGATATTTTTACGGTCGGAGGGAATTTTTGGGAGCTATGCAGGGAGCACGACGGGTGTGTGTCTTCATTTCCTCTGTCGATTGGCTGCTAATCTTGTGGACAGGCTGTGTACATGCCCGGATCGAGCATGATCCAGTCCACGAAGTGGATGTGGTGAATGTATTCAAGGTGCAAAAGGCGGCAGGGCAGGTTCCTCTGTCTCTGATCCACCATATGAGTCCCACGTTGCGCTCGTTGACCTTGTGGTCAAAAATGTGAGCTTGCCTTCGCCTAAACGACTTGCTTGATCTAATGTGAGGCATTAATAGGCATCCATATGAAATGTAAAGCAACAGCTCCGTAATATGTGATCGTAGGGAGTCTGTTATTGTGTTGAAAGTCGTGAGCCTCTTGCGAGTCTAGTTTTACGCAGCGTTATTTTAAGTTGATGATCTAGGTATCTCTATCAATGCGTCAATGCGAGGTCCAAATACCTCGGTCTCAGTACTAAAATGGGCGTATATACCAACTCAACAACGCTGTATATCCGCCCAGACGTCAAAGAAACGGACGTGATCAGATCCAAATGGCGTTGAGACCTTCCGCTGCTGAATCGAGATTGAATGACACCAATATCCATGATCGTGATATGACGCCGTACATGAACTCATCAATATCTTCGGACTGACCAATATTTGTGTCATCTGCGTCACTCATGCAATACGCCAGCCTCCGATGCCACAGCCCCCAGCGTCCGCATATCACCCTTCTCCCAGTAACACTCGAAAGGTCGCTTCAAGCAACCAATTCAAGCCTAAACACGTTCGTCAAGTCTGGCGACGCCGCTTTCATGACCTGTCATTCAAGGATCGGCTGGACACGGACACAGTTCTTTATCCGTCTCCATGTCCAGGTATACGCCTTTAACTGGCCACCGCTCAAACATCGGACGATGACGCGATGACGCGCTGCAGGTATTAGGCCGGAGGGACCACTTCAGGCCCTCCTTTAGTTTCTGAGGGTGTGGGCGCAAGAGCAAGTTTGCTTGTCCCATGTCTTTCCTTTGCGGTTCGTGGGCTGTAATGATATGTCTGAATCAAAGGACCAGTGCCTTCCTGGTTCCCTGGGTCCTATGAGGCCTTGACGTTTTGTCTTTGTGGTCAACGGTCCCATCGACATCAAGCGTGCGATGGTGCGAGTCCTTTAGTGCGCGCACAACCTCCTTGGTTCGACCATCCAGGTTTTTAACAGCCCCGCAGACCAATAAAAACACCATCAGATTAGAGGAATCTGCATTTGTTTCTTATAACACGCCAGACGTGTATATATTCATCTGCTCCGGTAATGAGAGGGCCGAAGGAAATGCCGACGGCTTGAATGAAATTGGTATTCGTCATATAAACGAATTCGCATGCGGACTATTCCGAGAATCCAGCTAGAATAGGACCTTAAAAACTGCGAAGGCAGGCGAGAGGCTCGGATTGTTGGACTGTCGACAGAGACCTGGGATATTAGAACAGATTGCACCCTATGATTCCAGATCCCGAGTCATCATCTTGCGATTTTATGTATTGGTAACTGGGTTCGACGAAAATTTCTCGTCGATGGGTCCTCATCTTGAAGTACAATTTTGACTGAATCGTGATCTGGCTTTGTAGGGTATAATCTAGGGTCCTTTAGTATTGACATGATTCTAGCTACCTACCTGCCTGCGGTTGGGAAAGCCTCCCGATGGCCTAAAGATGATTTACGTTGATCAGCCGTGCTAATTCCGCAATGTGCGTATGTACCTTCAATGTACGAATTACATGTGAAGCTCATCCCTGACATTACCATGGAATTTTAGGAGCGAGGTACGGACATAGCACCAACTCTCTGGCTCGCCTCCCTTCCCCTCTTCTGCAATTCACTAACTCTGCAGCCGTGGATCGAATCAAGTCACAGGGAGGTACTGTGTGCACAACCGTTGGTAAGCTCACGTGTATGTCTTCATTGTGATACATCTGACTGTTCCATGCAACCCTAGTATCCGATCTCCTAAAATGTTTGGGGAGCGAAGTGGACCACGGGGGAGTCGCGACGCAGCATCGTGCTCTAGTTACGCTGCCACGATTTCTTTTAAACGATTATATGCCCTCCCCGATGGAAAATTCGCGCGCGCGTACTGAAGCGGATCCACAATACCTTCGAGCTTTGCCACTCATAGCGCACTGAGTGGATCGCTGAACGTATCACTGAGGCCAAGGCCCCGAGGACGCAGAAATTGGGAATCTTCTGTTTTAACCACTGGCGGGCCGTCGTCAATGGACTCGGGAATGACGGAGTTGGCCCTTGATCGGCCCATCGCCGTCCTAACCACGAATCACGAGAGTACTGTTCTCGATGGAACTTTGACGGTCTTTGACGACCGGGCACCTGAATACAAAATGAATTTACTTATATAGACTTACCAGAGAGAATTCGTAGTATGGTTTGATGACTTGAGAGACAGAAGATAATCTATACCAAAGGGTAACAGAATTCAGAGGGAAAGCCAAGTCAGATGTGTCCAAGATCACAAAAGAACCGTAGACTGCACCTATACGACCAAGTGGGCCACATTGAAACTTGAGATAGGCCAGAAGCATCCAAGAATTAAGGGAAAATCACACTCACTGCTCTGAACGCAAACAAGAAATTGATGAGACAGCCTCGAAAAGTCAAACTGTGGAGGAGAGAATGCGACGAAAGTGATGCGTCAATTCCATGATTGGCTGATGGCTGCATGACGGGCAATTTGCATGATAATTTTGCTGGAAAAAAGATCTAAATTAAGATCAAAAGTCAAGCCGCATTACGACGTTGTATGGCCGTCTGAAAGAGCACTCGACGGTGACGGAACAACTATACACCGCACCGTACAAACGGTCAATGTTAGGGTACGTTCGGCTTCGGTCCGTATAACGGTTAACAACCATAGAGTACGGTGGTAGACGGCTGTAAAATACCCGTACCGACACCGACAAGACTGTCAGACTGACCATACGGTACGGTATACGGATAGTGCCGTGACCGTCTGGGACCATGACTTTATGGCCGTATACCGTATACGGTACAGTGCGCAGCCCTAATCACCAATAGTTGGATTCACATTATGAACTCTAGTGCATAGACTTCTACCACTTTGAGTTATATGTCTCTGATATCTTTCCTATCATAGGAACGAGATGGACATCTGAATCTCTGGGAAACCCTTCTATGGCTCCAGAGAGACACCTTCAATGGCTGGGACGGTGTTGACTCTGATTGTCCCCTAGCATATGCTAGTAAGTAGTACATCTTTTACTTGTGACAGATCTGTGACGAGCTAGACAGATGTCTACACTCCACTCCACCGAATGATTGGCCAAAACCAACGTCTTCCCTTTGGAAATGGTGACCAGTTGTGCGAGTAGCTTTCACGCCTCTCTTTCTGATCGTTCTATAACATGACAATCTTGGATTGTATTTAGAATCGATATGGCTAGGGTCTCGAGCCCACCCCAGAATCCACAAAAAATCAGTCGCTGGACTAAAAGGTTCGCCGTATCATATACAAATAACTTCTCCTCTCACCATTCCCCGCCACTTCTGCAATCCACAGCGGTAGAAGCGACAATCGTCTCCTCGGTCTGTTTTTTTTGTTCATTACCTCTGTCTCTCCATTGGAAACCATACGTCGTGACCTCTAATCAGCTTTATGTGGATACTAAATCGTTGAAATAGCTATGCGAGAACATCTGAGGACTATTCCAACCGATTGGAAGAAATAATGTTATTACGCTTCCAAGAATGGACACGCATCTCAAGTGCCGTACAGGTCCCTTCCGAAGGGCAAGCGCAGAATTAAATAAGACTTTATAAGGTGTTGCCTTTCTTTTTCTTCATAAAACGGACTCTTGTTGCCTTTTGGAAAGTTCCCCAAATATCGACTACATTCACACGTACTTGACACCTCGCCAAGATAGAACCCTGATATTCCGCATGCAAAGATTATTAATATGCCAATGTATCTTGTATCTAACTTGCATACGGAACTGCTTAGACCAGGAAGGAGAGTGCACCAAGAGATCACGGGCATCATTGATGCAGTAGAATATGTTAGAATGAGCAGTAATTCTCCAGCGCTCACCCGGATTTCAGCAGGGAACGCTCGCAAACAGGTGGGGGTCGTCATTTGTCTACGATGTACACATAATAGAAGCAATACAATGTAGCAAGGAAAGCCGAGGAGGAGAACAATGCTCCTTTGCCTGACAACCGAAGAACCAGACGTTGACTGTGCTGGATGCGCGGTGCTTGATATTACAGAGTAAGTTTCGTTGCAGCTGTGTGGTCTCAGTCAAAGGAGGACTTAAGGTAGCAAAGACTATCATTCCGTTCTTACCGACGTTGCAGACACCACCGCTCGGGTGGGCATGAGAGGTATCTGAATCTACTTAGGACGACGCCACTCGGAGACCCTGAGAAGTAGCTGATTCCCATAGTGCGATACAAATTTCAAGACAGTGTGTTCGCGGAAGACGACCTGGCCAGGATCACCGAAAAAACGCTGGCCTCCCCGCTGCTTGAAATGGCACATTTGAAAAGCCTTGGGATCTCCGACGAGCCAACACCACAACTGACCTCGGGCGCTGGGGGCTTGCAGAAATTCAGGCTCCTATTCGTGTATCAGGCACAAGCGCGCGCGTACTGCGCGTGTTCAGTTCAAATTGATGCAGCCGGCGGGGCCCGATACTCACTATGCAACCTACCAGACTGCTCAATTTAAGCGGCAGAGTTGATCTGGAATGTAGTGTTGAAATATGATGGCTGATTATATAGGGTGACCATACTCTCTTGAGGTCTACAGTCTGTAGCGCTACAGCCGGAAGGGTTGGGACAGGTCCTTCAAACCTGAGAAGTCCTGTATTAAATTGAACATCCCATCGATGTCGGACACACGTCACAATGGTAGAAGTGTCATTCAAAAAGATAACCACAAAGCACACGAGGCCAGAAGAGACAACCCACACAAAAGACAATGAGACAAGTAAAACCCAGAGAAAATATTACAGAACCCAGACGTTTCAGGAAGATGGCAAACTCAGGCATGTAATGTGTTGGCCAATGAAATCCAGGTTCCCAGGAGCTCTCAAAGGACTCTCTCTTATCAACCAAAATCGCTGCTAGCAGTGACAGAAGTTAGGCTGATGGTCCTATGACACTAGTTCCAGATGAGTCAAGATTGGCACTATGTAAATGTCAAGTGAGAGTCTTACTAATAATCTATGCTGTTCATGATGAAGAAGTAGATACGATGGATCTAATCAAGGTCCAATCACCAGGGCATGGGAGACTGTCAATTGAACATGAGAACCAGTACCCACTGTCATCCAAGTTTGGGAAAAATATGCACTTGCAGGTGTCTGGCCACCCATTCTCGAGCTTTCTTTCATGCCTGTGCTCACAGCATCATTGTTAATGACTCTGACTGAAGATGCTGTTCAACTGCTGTTCCTGTACACAACCTGAGTTGCCACAAGTTTTGATCATGATGATTTCAGTGACCTAGGGAAAATATGAATATTTGGATATCTTCACTGGGGATCAAAGAAAGAAAAATTACTAGGCAGCAGGCAGTCAACTCCCAAAAAATCTGGTGTCACATACCTGAAAAAAATTCTTGAAGCAGAAATAGGATTCCAGCCCTGCAGAGTAGAGTAACACATTCTTTCATTGCATGGCCATCAACACAGGAAATAAAGCACACTGGGATGATCATTGATACACAGTATAGACTATAAGGTGAACAATATGATACAGATCCAGTCATGTCAAAAAAAGTAAGAAAACATGAAAAGATAAGTAAATTTGAATCGGGATGAAACAATGAAGATCATAGTCATAAAATGAGTATGCAAACCTCCTTCAAATGCCTCTGTCCCCACCACATCATTGCCATCAGACCACAATGGGGGATCAAATTGTATTCAAGTGATGACAGGCTCATATTGGTGTTCTTGCCAGTGTCAGAGAGTGAGTATGGAAAAACACCACTGCACTAACAGACACACAGACCACACTCTCATCACTGTCATGTTCAGTATCCCAATGCTTATCACATGTACTAAGAGGCCATTGTGTCTTTTGAGTGATTACTCAACAGTGCTGATTCAAAATGAAACTGGAATGATAATCAGTGCAAAAATGGATATCAAAGAGGAGTGGTCACTCTGGAAAAGAAATGTATGCCAGTAGGCAGGGATCTATGTGTTCTCAAGCAGCATCCATCTATGCCTGAGGGTTCAGACCAAGAAAACAAATGGCTTCATCAAGTGACCACATCATTGAGTCTAGAGCATCCCAATGTCATTGTTGGGCAAGTGCCAGCCACACAGGATCACATTTGTGAGAGAGATAATTGTGTACTCAGTGATATATAGTAAATAGTCAGAATTGCTCAAGGTGAGGGACCAAGATTTAGCCAGAGCTTGTCAATGTTGAATGATATAATGAAATGGTTAGAGTGGAAATCTAGCTACAGCATGACACAAGGGCATGAACCAGACTTGGAGGATGACCCTGTCAGGTTTTCAGCTCTGTCTGAACTTGGGCTCACCAGCACTGAAAGGTCTCCCACCACTCCAAAACAGGGTTTCAATGACAGGCTTTTCAGAATGCCTAATTGGGTGAGCCTTATAATCCACTGATATCTCTGATGACTCATAAGCAGCTAACACTACTACAGACCCTGGTGCTGGGGATTCACAGAAATTCAGGCTCCCACATGTGTATTAGGTACAAGCATGAGCATAATCAGCAATTCCTAATTGATGCCCAGACTTGATATAAAGTCATAGCAACTGGCCACCAGACTGTTCAATTTGAGAGAGGGGTTGGTTTAGAATGCAATGTAAAAATGCATGCATTATACAGGTTGACCATGAGCCTCTGGAATTTACAGCATGTAGCACCAAGATTGGGAATTGGGATAGGTCCTTAATCTGAGAAGTTCAGTATTGAACATCCCATCAATGCTGGATGCAGACCACCCTCAGAGAAGCATCAATCAAAAAGATAACCAGAAAGAGCACCAGTCAGGAAGAAACAATCCACATGAAGAATAGTAAGACAAGTAAAACCCATGAAGAATCCAGAGATTAAATTGGCAAAACCAGGCATGTAATGTGTTGATCAACAAAGTCAGAGACTCCAGATTCCCAGGAGGTTGCAAAGCACTCTGCATTATCAACCCAAATCGCTGCTAGTAGCCACAAAAGTTGGGTTGATGGTCTTATGATGTTAGTTCTGACTGATTCTATATTGGTGCTACATTAGATGTTAGTGAACACTGAGATGAGGAGAAACAGATGCAAGCCAGCAAGCATTTGTTCTGAGAGTATCTGGAAAAAGCTTTCATTTGCTTGTTGTCTCCTTTGTGTGATGAAATGTTAAGGATGGGAGTTGGGACATGTTTTGGCTCCATTCAGTGGTTGAGTCAAAATGAAGTAACAGTTGAGTCAGAAATATGTGGCTGACTGGAAAAAAGGGGTTCGTGAGAATACAAGTTCACTTTCCCTTTTTTCTTGTTGGAAGACACTGCCCATCGTCAATTAATTTACAGTAGCCGAGTCCCATTTGTAAAAGTTGGCAAGGAATAAACATAATAAACATATTCGCTTCCGCAGGAAAGGCTATGACCAACATAAATCAATAAAAGCATGCTGTACAGTGGCATTTACTAATAATAATTTGTGCTGTTCATGGCGAAGGAGTAGATACGTCCTTAGCGATAGATCTAATCTAAGGTCCGATCACCGGGACATGGGAAATCATCCATTAAACTTGAGAACAGGAACCTACTGTGATCCAAATTTGGGCAAAATATGCATTCGCAGGCCACCCACTCTCGCGCTTTTTTTTGCGCCCGCATACACAGCATCGTCGTTAGTGTCATCGACTCGTTGAACTGCTGTTTCTGCACGCGGTTGCCGCAAGTCAGCTTTGATCATTTTAGCGAACGGAAAGAGATCATACGTTGAGAATAATGTACAGAGATGCTTGCCGGTGACCGAGGAAAAAATGAATAATAGGCGACAAGCGGTCGACTCCCAAGATACCTGGTGTCACATACCTGAAAACATTCTTGAAGTGGAAATAGAGCTCCAAGCCCAGCGGAATAGAGTAACCCGTCCTCGTAGTGTGAAGCTTCAACGCAGGAAACAAAAGCACAGGGGCATGGTAGTTGATACAAAATTTAAGCTACAAGGGGGAACAGAATAGAATAAAGATCCAGGTCAATCAAGAATAGTAAGATCACAATTTGAATCGCAATGAATGAAAATCATAAAGTCGTAAAATGAGCATGCAAATCTCCCTCAGATGCTTCTGTTCCCGCCGAATCACCGACATCTGACCACACTGGGGAATAAGGTATATTCAGGCGATGATAAGGCTCATACTGGCGTTCTTGCCGGCGTCGGGAAGTGCGGGAAAGTGCCACTGCACTGACAGATACGCTGGACACACCTTCATCTCTGCCATGTTCTGTGTCCCAATGCTCGTCACATTTACTAAGGGTAGGAAATCGCGTCTTTCGAGTGTTGGCTCGACGATGCCGGTTCCAAATGATATTGGAGTTATAATCGGTGCTAAAATGGATATCAAGGAGGAGTGGTCGCTCTGGGAAAGGAATATACGCCAATAGACGAGCACCGAGATTTTGTTGATCGATCTCTTTCTTCCCGTGGGGGTTGAGTCCACGGAAACAAACAGCTTTGTCAAATGTCCGCATCACTGAGTCTAGGGCATCCCAGTGACTTTGTCGAGCGAGCGCCAGCCGCACAGGATCACGTTCGCGAGAGACGTCTTTCAGATTCTGAAGATTTCTGGTCGGGAAGCGTATTTTGCCATCAGCAACTTTCAAGTTGGCGATGCTGAACTCAGGGAAGTACAAGAGCAAATTGTGCTTTTGTAGCTCCTGAAACGCGTTGTATGCCTGATTGGACTTATCAATATGTTTTCCAATGCTGCCAAGCACATGCATACCAAGGCTCGGTCACAAAGCTCAACATATCGGCCACCGTTAACTTCCATGACGATCCCAACAACTTCATTGTCACAAATAAGATGTCCTAGGACCTTGAAATGCAAATCCAAGTTGCGTCGTCGCAAAGCATCAAGGGAGATCATGGCCCTCTGGACAAATGTCAGATAGCGATCTTCGTAACCATACCAGATTTCTTCATGGATAAATCAGTAAGAATAGCCGAAAAGTAAGGACTGATTGACCGATGTCCATATTATTCCATCTCCCTTTCCGATTCTCTGCAGATATCCAATCAGTAATTTCAATTTCACGCTCATCGATGAGGCGCTCCCAGGTCGGATAAGTAATTTTAAAGGTTTTGGGCCGTAATTTCTTTGGTATAAGGATATGCCCATCCTTTCGACGGACCAAGAACGCTGTCGCCGTTTGCGTGAAATCAATAGTGTGGAGAAGAGTTTCCTGTCATATCAAGTCATCAGTATAATACGCATGTCTTTGAACATAAACTTACCAGAAGACCAATAACGTAGGTAAGAATCTCAATCGTAGATCTATCTTGCTCAACGCCGGGCCCATTTGGAGCGTAGACGTGTAGAACGTGGCCGTCTCGAACAAGGGTATGTTCAGTATTGCCAAGCCCCCCAAGAAGTACTACATAACATGAAGTAAAGGTAAACTCTCGATGCTGTCCACTTACGAAGATGTGCCGTTGCGTGGGGGGGAACTCTCATCCTCTTCTGCGGGTGACCTTAGTGATAATCGGTTCAGAAGAGGTACACGAGGGCTACTACGAAAGAGGGCGTGATGTTACGCGGTCACATCACCTTGATCGTCATCAGCCCAAGCGACCGACGTATGTCCATCTCACGTCCAGGAGATAATAAATCTATCAGTATTCCTGAGTATACAGCCTCTCATTCTGTGTACAGCGCCGAATAAATATGTACAGCCCATTTAATTTCCATGAGGATCCATGTTGACCCGTCCATCAATTTTTCATTGCCTTTCCAGGTCGTGGTGTACTTTTTTTCTCCCTACTTCTGTGATTTCCGACCTAGCATCATGCCTTATAACTTGTTTTTAGATGCCTCAATGATGTATCTCAGTTTTCAACGCTGTATACCTATCCTATTTTCTCCTTTTCTGTCGTTTTGGCGTCAAGGCAAGCGAAACGGAGCGCATTACAACTGTGAATTCGATAATTTCAGTTCATGTTATAAAATATATGGTAGGTCGTGATGATGTACTCATCTCTGCGTATCCTCGTACTCTGTTGCACTTATGTGCACTTCGACAATTTATCTGTGTCCAAAGTGCGGGACGCGGTGGTCCAATGCATCTTATTGCCCCGCAAATTGTGTCGCTAACGGAATCAAACCAAAGGAAATTGATCACGGTCAGACAGGAACATGTGCTTCTTGCGTCAAAAAATGATTTTCTGGTACTCGGTGAGAAGTCTCTTGCTGCCGATACCAACCAGCGTCTTAACATTCTTTCTTCAGAACAATTTTGTCTTTCTCCCGTTTCAAGATCTCATGCCCGACTTCTTACATCTCTGAAAATCTGTATCTATGCTCTTTCCCCGCCTCTCTCTTCAAGTTCTTGTCCTTGCTCCTGGATCTCTTTGCTTTCACTGCTTCCCTTGCGCGTCACTTCACAGCTAATGACTGCCAGAGCTCCTGGAAAGGGCCAACAACGACTTGGAAATGGCAAGCGAATTTTTTCTCTTCGCGTACCCACCCAGATTTATGAACTAAACGACAGACTCTCCATACTGAACGCCACCCTCGGCATTCCGAGCTATCTTTATCACCCAACCACAATAATTTCGTCTTGGATCTAATCCACAGCTCATAATCTACTACATCTCATCCACTTAATGGTATATTAAATGACCTGTCTTTTTTCCTGGCTACTAGAGTAGACTCTATCTTTGCTGCTAGAACTTGCTGCGTAGAAAGTGTAGAGCCCAAAAAGGACTTGCTGCTGCTTAGAGCTTGATTTAACATGCTTCTATGACATCTTTCAACTCTCGCGGGGGACGTCGAACGGAATTGCTATCGAGGATCTGGTTCAAGTCTTGTGGTGACCATCCTATTCAATTTAGGTTCAAGATCCTGTATTTGCATGCTGTTACCGCGGGAAACCTGAAATTAATGATAGTCCTGATTCATTTCTGCGCTCTCCTCAAAGATTGTATTGTCTATCCTAGATTCTCAGGTGCTGTAGGGGTTCATTTCGTACTAGTGGACTATCTGTACCACAGCTATTTTTAGATCGAACCCGATCACTCGATCATCAAGATGAGAAAATTTTCATTTCTCGGAAATTTAATTCGCAAGTTCAAGCTTCAGTGGTTACGGTACAAAGGCATTTTAATTATCAAAAAGCTGTTTCTGGGTCAGGGTCACTTTATGTGTTAGCAACGCAATCTGAAACTACTTTGAACTGGCGTGGTGCTCTCCGGATTCAAAAGGCGACTCGAGCCATTGGACAATAGAGTAAAAGATTCGGTACAACGAAAACAAGAGAAGGAAATATCAGAACTATGGTTATATTTTTGAAAACTCACATTGAGATCTCGATGGCCAACATGCGTTTCCTATCACATTCATACCTGGCGCTGTATTCGAATCATCAGGTTTTCACGAACACTTCACCATGATAACCGACGGGATTTTAATTTCTTACCATCTGGTGACAACGGTGATTTTGGACTGCAACAATGCAGAGTGACAAATGATAGGCACTCTATTCTGGCCTATTAACAGTCGGAGATTGCTCGGCCTTCCTTGCTAGCTGTTCTACCGAACCTACCGAAGTCTGTGCATCAAAATTTAGTGTAACCATTGATTAAAGATAGACGCGACTCCTCGGCTTAGTTTTTACCAAGTTAAGAGGGCGAGCGCCCTGCTGTTCACACCAGTGCTGATCTTCCCACGTTGAAACGCTACATACGGCCGACACGCTTCGTCCAGAGAGATCACGCTGTTAAGGATCAAGCGTCCGCCGTATGTTTGTCGCGACGAGAAAAATGAGGCTGATCTGGAATGTTTCCACCACTTGAAGCCGTACAGCCCACTGACCAGTAGGGACAAAATACGACTGTAATATTAGGGTGTTAGATATCACACACCGCCCGCATGTGAAGTGGTTCATCGACGCCGTGACATCGTGAAGCAACCCTCATAGCCGGGCACAGCGACGGGACTTAAAGTGTCCCGCCACCTTCCCGCCAAATTACCGTCAACATTCCCTATAAGATACCCTCGATAGAGCCACTTTCCTCGATCGCCATCAACCTAGATACGATATAGGTAAATGCTGGCGAATTTCAATAAGACTCGACATACATAGTCCTTGGAGAGACTGATGAATCCGTCACATGGACGAACCCTGCCAACAAGACTAAACTGTCCCCACGCCGAATGTCCCTGCAGAACGAAATCAATAAAGAGGGGAATTGGGGTGTCCGATGACTGTACCTCGCCTGTTATGATGATGTCACAGACATGCCTCTGTTGGTCAGGCTGAAGGAGACGTGCTCGCTTGTAGTAAAGAGGTTCCCCACCAGGTTCCTCAATCTCGAGCCCATTGCAGTCCTCTTTGATGCGAGTTGCGGTAGGGAAATACGATCTCAAGGGGTCACCTGGAGATAAGGGGTCGAAGTCATCGATGCTTTTCGGCACTAAACAACCGGCAACGAGCTCCTTAGCTAGGAGGTGGTGCTCGCGAAGCTTCCATGTTTGACGGTGCTTGACTACAAGACTTTTTTGCAGAACTGGCGGTGGCGCTCCAGCCAAAAGAGACGCATATGCAGTAAATTCGGTGTACTGTGCCTCCCGTCAGCTGGTAGACAGATATAAAGGGCGGGAAGGACATACGGTAAAGATCCCTTCCCAAACGCCTTCAATGCTAAAACATGTTTTAGCCTCGTGGGTTATATGACTTTAAGCAAATCTCATACCTTCCTGGCATAAACGACGTCATGAATATCTTGTCAAACGAGGGTTGGCCGAGATTAATGCATCGACCCCATTCACACTCCCACTCCATGCCATTCGTTGACCGTTGCAGCAAAACAGGTGGTGCACGTTCCATTGTTGAAGGAAACTCAGGTGAACCAAGCATCCGGTTCACAAGTGTGAGGAAACATAATATGGCCGGAGACGCGAGGGGCGGAGGGTTGAGATGAAATATTTCCGAGTAATGAATGATTTTGTTAGACTCCCGATGATGGGGTGGAGGAATGAAATCGAGCCATGACGGTGAGGTCAAATGATACTACATTTGTAGGATTATTGTTTCGCAAAATGGACGGCCGCCGTTATCACTCACCCGATGTGCACCCAAAGCAAACAACTTCAACACATTCAGAACGTTCCAAGACGCCTCTCCATCGCGTGTATACTCCTCTAAGACCCATGACTGGTTAATTAGCGCCGGCGGCAAAGATGACGGGAGGAATGCGCACCTGGTCGAAGAAGAAACCAAAACAACCACATGGCGACTGCAGAATGGTCTGTTTGAGAAGGCCATGTATTGGCTTTAATTGATCGTTTTGCTGAGGACCTCCCGTTATCACTGAACCAATATTCTTGCAGCCACAAATCAATATGCCCATATTCGCGGAGCTGCCGCTCGTTCCGTCCTTCGTTTTCAAGCATAGTAAGATACGCATAGAACAAAAGTTCCCGGAGACCCTGATCATCAGAATCTAGTGCAGGGGGGAATGTAGCATCCACTTGCGAACGAAGACGCTTTAGATAGACACATCGACGCTGAAGCTCTTCTGCCAAAATAGGAGGAGAGATTCTATCCATTCCAAGACGCCGCGTCGCTATCGAAAGGTCAAATTTGAAAGTGAAAATCTTGGAATATAGAGTATGATTCTTCGAGACAGATAAGCGAGATTCGAGATTGTGATTTGTCACCACCAGCGAGGCAAGGTCAGAAGGGGGACCTAGAAATGTGCTGGTACCGAGATGAAAAGCAATGTGCTCTAAGATTTCCTGTGGGATGCTCTCGAGGCAAAGCGTCATGGTGGAGAAGAGAGAACAATTGATCATAAGACCGGTGCCACGGTTGCAGGGAAATGCACACACCGGCATGTTATCTGTTGGCCGGAACCTAATAGTGTTCCCACGACTCGGCATTGTCGCCGAGTGGAGCCGGGAGTTTTGCCATGCGACTCGTTTTGATGGATTGAAGCTGGCCGAAACCATGCCCACATCCTTGAAAAATCTCAACGTCTCCGCAAAACTCAGCCGCTGGAAGCCGAACCGAGCCGAAGTTAAATATTTCATTGACCTTCTAAGCCGAATGATCCGAAATCAAGCCAAGTCGCTTGAACCAACACTAAGGTTCCTGCCAAAAGAGGAACAGGAGCGGGATCGCACGAGAGGTCGCTTTTTTCCTTGCTTCTATCATCGACGTACGAATGTCCTTTACATTATCGCCTTCATAGATATATATTGTATATAACATCCTTTGCGGCTGTAGGATATCTACCAATATCTCGATGATTGTTTTACCTGACCTCACGACTGCCGGTGACAGCGTGCTTCCCAAGTGTCTACAGGGAAGTAGAGGACGCGAATTTGCGGTAGCTGACGGCAGTGGTCAATTCTTCTTTCATAGGATTTATTCTCTTGATCCCCTTTGGCATCATAAGCGTGGAGCATTGACTCACTGGATCATGGATCAGCCGGTCTACGACTCCCACCATCATTTGTATTTTCGTTGATGAGGACTTGATCAGGCCTTACAGTCATTTTATCTCATCCCACCAGGTAACTGTCAGTATGCGCGCCAGATGCAATGCACTTCTGATGCCCAACGCTTATAAAACTTACATCAGCGTGAATTCCAGGGTTTCTAAACGACACTCTGCCCATCTCTTGATCCCACCACTCCGTCCAGCCTTGCTTCTGATACCTTCGACCGCTGGCGTGGCGATCCCCCGAGGAAATTTTCCAATAGGTGCGACCGCGGAATCCAAGCTGTTTGTATCGACCGAGATCTCTTGCCGCTACTGCCGCAATACAACAGCTCGCTGAAGCCTGGAAGAGTCGAGGAGAAAGGTGGACACATCGGCGGCAAGGGGATTCGCACCTTGCCGTCAGGTTCTCCGAGACGTCAGGAAATGTATTCGACGTGCTTCAGCCATTTCCACATGGCTCGACGTTGAATAATTAAAGGCAAGCTCTTCGTAATCCTGATCAGTCGACGTACTCACGATCTTAGAGTCACGGTGGAGTGTAGAGTCGTCGCAAGCACCTGGCTACTAACTGGTTACACACAGAAGCTTAGCTTGAAGGGGAAGAAGTGTACAGGGGCTCGCTTCAATTACCAAGGAAGCATCCCCATGGCATTACTAGCTAGAACGCGCGCAAGCAGGTCTTCTCATGGTCCAGGATGACGTTGAGCAGGGATGATAAATTAGCCCTTTTGTTACGACGTCAGAAAATTCCCAGCATCCGCAACTTTGTATCGTAGGGACCACCCTAGAATTTGTTTGTCCTTAAATTGTCCCTGTAGACATGACACTTGATAATCTCTTGTCCGTATACCAGCAGAGCTAAAAGACCTGGCCCCAAGATAGAGTTTGCGCGAGCCAAGGTTTAGGGTACATCGTTCATCATTCCGTTAGGGTTGTATCTGCTGAGAAAGGTCCAAATATAAAGTTCTTCAGGTCGAAAGAACGAGAACGGACGGACATCTCAGGCTGTCAAAATCCAGCTCCTTCCCGATCTGTCGTCCTGGCACGGGGAACTGCAGGATGGAAAATTCCGGGAAACCAATACACAGAGACCAGAAAAAAATGTTCGTTTAACAAATATATGGTATTACAGTTATTGTTTTCTGAGGCTCCTTTTCTCTGCAGACACGCCAGTTTACCCACCTTGAGCATGGTAAAAATGGGCAGGGACGGAAACCCACCTACGGGTTGCCTGGAGCACGTTGAGTGATCAATAGAAGGCGAGAGCTCGAGAGAAGCCGACATATCTTGATGGTGACCGGACTTATTGGTATTCAAATCTGTGTTCTGTGAGAAATACTGATGTACTATGGGTTGTATTGAATGTCCTGTATAGGATTATGGAGTACACTGTTTATCGGCCTAATTAGCGGAACAAACTTCTGACGCCAGATATCAGGAACGCATTATTATTTAAAACTCAGCGGCGTTAAAGTAGAGGACGTGAATGGGTTTTTGACAGACTGAATGGTGCCTCCCAGATAGAAGGCTCAAATCCCGTGGAAACGGGTTTCATTCGACCCACAAAATTGTGCGTAGAAGTCACTGAACCAAACCTATCAGAAGCCCGTATCAGAGCACGAGAACAGGAACGTTTACATTGGCCTCTCAGGATGGTGTCACCGAGATGGGAAACCTAAAAATGAGGTAAGATGCACATGCATAAACCGGTAAGCGGAAGGAACCGCACCCGCTTAAGGGTGATCAAGCCGTCAGCGAGGCGAATGCGCCCAATGAAATTGAAATCACCCCAGGCAGCAGCATGACGTGGTTCAGTCTATGAAAATGTTTGTTCCCCGCATTTTGATAAGAGAGTTATAGGACCTGCCTTGCCAGTGACGATAACGTCGACAATTTCGCTCTGGGGCGCGCATGTTGCATCGTACGTCTGGTAGAACGTCTTGAACGTTCCTGATGTGTCAAATGCCATGATACCGGTCTGCGAAAGAGATGAGAATGAGGCAGAACGTAGAAATACTCACCGACACGACGTCTGGATACTCACCATGGTTTCGATCCATTTAAATCCGCTCGGAAGCCAAGCGTTCATGTTCCCATTCTCAAGAGCGTCATTTGGGATGACTTGATCGATGTTGTAACAAACATGCTCCTGCAAGATAACATAGAAAGGACGTCGACTGACTTCCTCACGCTCCGAAGGGGAAGGTGGGCTACTCGAGGATTTCCATCGGTGATATTGCGATCGATCGGGGATCTACATGAAAGTTTCACCTCGAAGCCCGGACAGGATAGACATGAATTCATACCAAGCAAGAACCATGGTATCTCCCCGTTAGCATACCAGGTAGGTAAGGCGGCGCAATGTCGCGGAAAGGTACGCAAAATCGAAGAGAGTCCAGACCACAACAATGAGTGCGATGATCTGCAAAGTATTCCAAATCCTCCCGGGTCGGACCTGATATGCCGAGGTCATTGGCCTCAACACGCGTACGCGGCAACTGGTCGGGGATTACGAGCCTATCAAATTCTTGTCTGGCGAAGTACGCAAGGGTCGCTAGGAGTGCTATCGGAGGCAGTTGGATTTGTTGGAATTTATCTCCGAAATATCTCGCTTCTGAGAAGCGAAGACCAGGAGGACTCGGACCATAAGTTCCGCAGGGTTGACTGTGAGTGGAACGGGTCGATGACGGAGACAGCGACTTCTCTGGACGGTAAAGCTGTTCCGGAAGGGTTGAAATAGAGTACTGAAGAATAACAAATCATTTAAGGAGTTATTTAACAGTGTATGGAACGTACTCGATACGGTGCAAACACTAAGGGTCGAAGACGATCCATCAACGCTCGTCGCGTAGCGGCGTTTTCGGCGTCAATCATGACTATGAAGAGAGGAATATGAGTAATCAATGACACAGAATGTCGGCCGAAGTTACTCACATCGAGAAGTTGAGACCCACAATAACAGTACGGCCAAACAGTTTTCATCGTTTTCAAGCGGCCACCCATTATTTTCGCCGGAATCGTCGTAAAGACGGGAAAGAATAAATGAGATCAGAAATTCATATACACCAGCCTGCAATAGGAACTTGATGTTTTTTTGACCCACTGCGGAATGGCTGACCATGGTGAACACACACCAGAGCGCATCCAACACGTTGTCGCTATCAACTTGGCTCCGGTGGAGCATCTGAAGCGTAATATATCTGCGAAACATTTCGCGTTTGGCCTGCTGTCGAAAAGTGGCCACATCGACAATGTAGAGAGGTGGTGTATCAAAATGTATCACGAACAGCTGCGAGTATGTTTCTGGATCGTTGAGGATGGAGTAAGTGTAACGGCACGTGAGCAATAGAGGATGGAAAATAGAAGGGATTCCGAGAGGTGCACAAGCCAAGTAGATGATTTTTCGTATCAGTTCAGGGGAAACGTGAAGGAGAGAGGACGCCATGACCAGATTATACCAAAAGCGCGCTCATATTTGTAGTCTCCCAGGAAAAGAGCATTGCGGCTAACGGTCGTAAAAAGGATCATACAAAGGGTGCAGGTTCACATGCGTTTTACACAGGAAATCAAAGGCAGGGAAAGATCGTGATGCTTGCCGGTTCAGTAAGCTATTTTCCTCCATCGGCGTAAGGGATGGTAGGGCCACAGAATAGCTAATCAGTAGAACCTTCGGGACGGCGAGGATCACGAACTCAATTAGATCCCAATCTAGGATAATTGAAAAGTACAGGGCTGCAAGGGGATTCGGGGGAACTAACGGGACGTACAAAACAAAAGACTGAAATATCTCGTGATACTGGGTGAAAGCCTGAAAAATGCTATCGAGCGAATGCCGATACTGAGACGGAATTAAAATGCGACTCACTCGCACCCGAAACCAATAACTCTGGACCGGCCATCAAACTAGGTACGGGGCCCCATTGTTCTTTGAGAACAGGGGAAAGGAACAGACGTAGTGAAAAAGTCGCCTTCTTTTCGCTATTTCCCGGTTGCCAAATTGTCGTCGAGTAGTAACCGATTACATCCTCTGTAGATCTTTCTGAGGGACAACTCAAGTGATTGACAAATACATTCCCAGGGTCGATGCCAGTATAAAGAATAGTGTACGAGCGCGTAAGATTCATAAAGCTCTGAAGATGCTCCGGTCTAGGTAAGTTATATTAACATAATTCCCTCACAGGACGTTGACGTTTTAAAATTAGCGACATTCTGTCGACAAAGGATTTGGCCTTAAATCAACGGTCAAAATCGTTTGAAACGCTCACCTCCTTAGGGTCCTCGCAGTTTTTTCACCCCTCGTAGGGGTTGCGTTTACGCCAGAATTAGCGAGGGGAGACCCAAGTCTGGGCACAGTTTGTCGTTGCCGTGCACTCTCAGAGATGGTCCGAGGCGCTAGCAGGATCCATGACAACACAAAGGGATGCCCCTAAGCATCCAAATCTGAGCAGTACGAGAAGCCAATGCGATCGCACCTCGCTTTTGATGTTGCACCAACGCTGGTGGCCGTTTAAACGGCTGATACGTGATTTACGACGACCCTGCTGGAGCCTGTGTATAAATGTGAAACGCGGAGTAGTAGAATCACCAATGAACCCAAAAACGTCGAGATACCATTTTCGCGAGAAACATGCGTTCAACCTGAAAAAGTACGGCTTTGGAGCTCGGTACCACTCGTCAGTGCCGCACGTTGTGGATCATAAAACCCTTTGGAGATGTGTTGTTACGGGAAGCAGATAACTGATACATACAAGACTGGTATTTCTCCCGGTCGCCAGGTAGTGTTACAGCACGTACGCCTACGCGTGATATCTTGTTTAGGGACCATGAGAACAGGACATTGGACATTGGGAGAGGTGGAGCCTGGAATGTCGTATTCGCACGGTCTTCACGAAGGTAGTAGGCGCCCCGCTGTATTCGGAGGCGGGAATTACAGCGTTCATGAGCATGAGACAGCAGATTGGCAGTGGCACTATCCGGTAACTAGATCGGTGAGGAGCAAAGGCCATGAGACTCCTAGGAGCTGACGGAAATTAAAGAGGAGTGGCCGAGGGAGAAAAGTTAGATTCAAAAACACGCGATGCAGCAGCTTTGCCCCCATTTAGTGGCCTATAGATAAACGGGCCCTCTAGAAGTACTGATTACAACGGGAGGCGGGCCGGCAAAGAATCCAGTAAAAGGGTAAATCCAGAAATATGTCTAGTCTTCAGGCCGAATTACCGTAATCAAAGTATATTCGTATCCGACCGAACAGCACTTGTCGGAGCGGAATTGAGCAAGCTGAAGAGTTGAAAACGGAGTCGCGTAAACACTGCAGCGTGTTTGTTTTATGTGTGCATGCTTGGCAGTGCCATCTCCACGTGTATCGTCCCATCTTTTTTTTTCCGACCATCGATTACATTGACAGTGACATCCTCTACCACAACCGTCACTCAATCATTCTCCTGAAGCAACCATGTCCATCGATCTCGGCTCGCTTGAGGCGCACTTGGCGACCAGGTCCTATGTTGAAGGGTAAGGAGCTGATTCCATATCCATATTTTCATGATGAGCTATCGCCATGGTCCGTGTTTCCAAGAGCGACTAGACATCGCTACTCCAACCTGCAGATAACTCATTCCTGGATTTCTGAACTTCATTCAAGTCTATCGATATCCCAATCAGAGATTAGTGCTGAAACACCTTTGATTTGACAGATACACTCCTTCTCAGGCCGATGTTCATGTTTATAAGGCCATTTCCTCTTCGCCAGGCGATTCTTACCCTAACGTAACGAGGTGGTACACCCACATCAACTCTTATGCCGCGGAGCATGGTTCTCTCCCCGGATCCAGCACTGCGGGAGAAGCATTCTTCACGGCCGTAGCCGCCTCCGCGGCTGAGGATGACGATGAGGTTGATCTGTTCGGCGACGATGACGAGGAAGAAGATGCGGAGGCAGAGCGTGTCAAGGCAGAGCGTGTCGCCGCTTACCACGCCAAGAAGGCTAACAAGCCTAAGACGATCGCCAAGGTCAGCTCTCCTTTTACTATATTGATATCAATTTTATATACCGTATCCAGTCTGTCGTCACCATGGACGTCAAGCCTTGGGATGATGAGACGGACATGAAGGCTCTTGAAGAGGCCGTTCGTTCCATCGAGCAAGACGGCCTTGTTTGGGGCGCTAGTAAACTTGTTGCGATCGGTTACGGTATGTCGCTTCGCCTTCTCTGATATGTGCCTCAGCTTGACTAATTCATTGCAGGCATCAGGAAATTGCAGGTCCGCTCCTTCATATCTTATTATCTTTCTCGCGTCTCACATTCCTGTATTTGATGAGATCACTCTTGTCGTTGGTCGGTAAATTGTCTCCACTCCGATCGTATTTTACTAAATTGGCGTCCACAGAGGATGAAAAGGTCTCCACCGACGAACTCCAGGAAAAGGTTCAAGAATTCGACGACTACGTCCAGAGCACCGATATTGCCGCCATGCAGAGTATGTTTCTGTTTCCTGTCTTCGAACTTTTTCTGATATGGTTTGTATAAGAATTGTAAATCGGCCACCTACGTGAGAATAATCTGTGCCACAGAGCATTACCAAGTTGCGCTTTTAGTCATTTGCAGTGAGATAAGTAAAAGTCATTTGTACCACCGTGTCATTCCAAGCCTTGAGTGCCAGTATACGGAATGATCTGTTCATCGAGGTACCGAAAGCTGATCTCGGACTTTCTCTTGGCCTTTGGCCCAGATGCCGGAGGCGAGCTTCTGGCGACCGGAAATGAAATATCTCAAGAGATCCCGAGTTAATGCATTCAGCTGCTGGTTAGGATCTGATGTCCTGATGTCGTACCGCAGTTGTGGGCATTAAACAGCGCGTCCCCGTGATTGACCTTGTTGCTGTTGGTTAGTAATGACGTGATGGCTATGTCCAGTATCAACTGGATGCGATCTTCCTGAAACATCTATTTTCTCAACTTGGGAATTATCACGGTTACGCTACTGCTCCCAGACGCGTGGGTCCGTTGAATGACGCGGCTCAGTAGCACTTATCCCCGCAAAGCGTTAGAAATCACCCGTGGCGCATCCATCTTCGGCAACTCTATTATGCACGTATCCGTCGTGACGACACCGTATCGTACAAATTCTCTTGCCTTTACTTACAACGTGTCCGGCTGTGCTAAAAACCTTGTAGATACTTTCAATAAAGCCCTTTGTTTCCGGAGACCAATATGACTTGTCCTGGTGTTTGAGCGAGGGGGATTGATGCCGAACCTGCTACATAGGCTCTTCAGCACGCTAGGAACCCCGGATTACCTACTGCTTCCATGAACTTGGTGTTGCCTGCTCAACTGATCCTAATAATTCCAAATGTATGTCTATGGTGCGGTGATCAATATAGGATCTATATTTTTTGGGACTCATTGCTCGCTCGCAGTTCCCAATGTGACGCTGGCCTTGGAGTATAAATGAGGGCGCGTCCAGGTATGCAAATAAACGTAATTCAAGATGGTGCCCTCCCTTGAGACCCTTCCTCGCGACGTCCTGGAACATATCGCCCTCCTCACTATTTCCTCGACGTCATGTTCATCTCTGTCCAATATTCTGCACCTCCTTCTGAGCAGCCGGTCCATATATCACCAACTCTGCATTCGCTGCAACCCGCACCTCTACGCTAGAACTTTCTGCACCATATTCGACGTTCCATTCCACCGTTCATGCATCCCACCCGACTCTGCCTTGGCGGCGGAACTGAAGCAGCGATTCCGTTTAATACGGCGGATTCGACACAGAGACTACTCCACCAAGTCCTTGAGACAGGATTTATGGACTGCATATGGGATGGTTCTGGAAAGCGAAGGTCTGAATGTATCTCAGCTCAAAGCTGTTGGGTTTTCCAGGTTCCTTGACGAGCTTGTTCGCAAGACCATAATTGAAGGCGCTAGGAATAATGATGCCATCGAATGTATGTGTCTAGCCATCTGGCTACTTGCTTTGACGGTGACGAGATGTGGGTAGCGTTTCCTGTCCTGAACCTATCTATGAAAGGCTAGCTGACCCCCTTCTTGTAGGTGATATCAATAGCAGATCAGAAGCTTCTCGAGAAGAGCTCCTACTTCTCCTTCGACCCTTTGTACTATCTATGGTTAAGGTATTTTATAATTCACTCCGCGTTGGTTGATGTTCTCACACCAATACTTTTCGGGCAGATATCTCCAACATATGCTATCAGCGGCCCACGGACACATATCTTCTCACACGTGTCAACTCAAAAGGACCCCGACCTCGAAGAAGAAGAAGTAATCTACTATTCTCGCAAGCCGACGCCCAAACCTCCCCATCCAAACCTCTCCTCAGCGGTGATTATCCTGACATTCGCCCTCAAGCAAGTGGATGTCCCTCGATATGCACCACCTAATATTCCTGCGGATAGAGCCGCAGCATTAGCGATTCATTGGACGGGCCCTACGCAGGAGGATTACCACGCTGTAGCCAGCTACAGAACGCCACTTTTCTCAGACATCCGTCAGACTTCTATCGCTACAAAGGAGTCCAGGACTACAGCCACTCTGTGTTCGTTGGCGCACGACTATGGTTATGGAGCTTTACAAGAAGATTCCTGCTTGTGTCAGCTCAGTGCATCGACTGCCCATACTATATATCGATATATTCACCAAAATCTCACGGGTGTGTGGGAGGGAATGTACTTCGTGAGCATGGGCTTCTTGATTTCTTGTGGTGCTGTATTCACGATGTGATGCCTGCGGCAGATTTCGCCGCTTGGGACGAGCGCTTCTTCGTCACTGTCTGATGCCACGGATGCGGACTTCATTTGTCAATCGCCTATGCAATGCGCCCTGTCGGTGCATTTCTGTTACACCCCCAACGTTCCTGTGTCTTCTGAAGACATGGGTGCAGATCCGTTCCACTGGAACATCGATCCACTCCATCTTTTCCAGTCACCATCTTTCTTCAAGGTACGTGGAGCGCAGCAAACGACTGATTCTACTGTTACTGATGAAGAGTGTTTCCAGAATGGGCGGAAGGCTAACCGCGGTCGAAGAGAATATTGCTATGATACGGACTTGCCCAGCGGTCTAAGCTCTCCTTACGACGCATGGCGCGACCCTGGCCAGGCTTTGGACTGTATTATCACGGGAAAGGTTCGCACATATCTCGCGCTGTCTAGTTCTTCTTCAATTCATTCGATTGTGCATAGACCCTTGAGGACCACGATGAAGCTTGGGGCGCGTTCAAATTCTATGGACGCGTCTACAGGGATGGTACCATCGTCATGAAGAGGTTGCCGGTGGGTCGAGGTTCTCAACTTCTCATGAGCTAGACTGATCCCTGTCTTCCGTTCTCTCCCTTTTTTTTTTAGAAGAATGGCTGGGAGACTGGCCTGGGTACGTGGATATTCGAAGGTCATCTCGGGTATGGCGCCGCTTGGGTGGGGAAATGGCGATCAAGCATTGCGCCAGGCGATGCAGGATTGCAGGGCATATTCAGTATGCGAAAACGCGGCTCGGCGAAGACTTGACCTCCGCCCTTGACTCACAGCAATCGACAGACTGGACGAATCTTCTGGATCCATGGCCTCGAGCATCATCATCATCTATTGTTCTGACATATTTACAGTAGTAAACCACGTTAATGTCGGGTTATTGATAAATTTAGATGCCTCCGAATCAATGATATTCCACAAACTTCCTTGAGTTTGTGGACGTGTGATCTCCAATCAATACACGTAACATAACCGAGATTTTCCAGCCTGGGAGTACGCGCCAAGGGGATTAGTGCGAATGAGATTGTTCCCCGTCGTACATAACAGGTGGGATCTAATCAATCGGATTTACGACATGATATAGGAACGGTTACGAACGGCATTGATAAGCAAGAAAATTGGCTGAATAGCGAGCCAAGGACTATTACGGTTAAATGTCAAATTTCAAGCCCTGTATCCTACAAAATGTATACAGCTTCCATTTGTTTGAATAATGTGCCTGTTATACTACACCAAGAAGGGACAGTCCGTCGGGCAGTACCGCATTTCGTGCAGGATACAAGCGGAAATAAACTAGAAAGCGACAACACAATTCTTTGGGTTCGTTCATCACAAGAAGGCTTCGCAATCGACATTTCATTCGGAGTCATTGAGAAACAGAACGCCGCTCAATCCAATTCAGTCAAACGCCCTCATTACCTCATTCCCCCTAACATCTCTGGCGAAATTACTTGGGATGCCTTCCTTCCAATCGGGAACTTCAAAAGAAGATGTGTGGCACCATGGCTTGAGAGAGAGCTCCTTTTCAACCACGAGGGCAAAATGCTCTGACCAGCCTTTACGTGGAAAGGTCGCCGTTGTCGTTTTAATGAGTTGAGGATGAATGAGGTTTGCACGGCTAGAAGAATAGCATCATGGTAAGTGTGGGCCTGAGATAACAACGTGAACACACATACAGGCCCACGTTGTCTACGGGTTACAAGGGAATGTGTGAAGAAAAAGACGCTCGCGAAGAGATATCAAACTTGCCGAGAATAGTTGATAGTTGCAGAACTTGCCCGATCATAGTGATGTTGCCACTACCCAATGATAACGGGATTTGGATGAGGCCGCACAGGACATGGGATGACGAGACTTACCCTTTGACAAAAATGTCCTGGTGCCGGACGATGGCATCACAGACACTGTCTGCCTGGTCTTCGACGCCTCCAAGCTGTAAAATAAGATCACGGGCAACAATTGCGCCCTTGAATTCAAAAGACAGTTTCGTGGTGGAGAGAAACTGATCCGCAGTGCCGATATCATGAAGAAGACACGCAAGGTAATACGTTTCAAGATCATAAGACCATGCAGGGAAATGAGTACGGGTAAGGGCAACGCCTAGACGCAGTTTAAGAAGTTTTGTGGCGAATACTAAAAGTTCCGACGGCACGAACCGTAAATGTAGACTCGATTGCTGTGGTTAAAAGTCTGTTCGTCTAGATGTTCCTAGAGCGAAAATAATTAGGATAACCATGTGACAAGAAAGAAAGAAGGAAGCTCACGCTGACGAATATTTTTACTTTCTGAACTAATGGACTATCTGGAAGGGGGAAATCTTTCGCGACGAAGAGGTCTTGCTTAGGACTGTCACCGCTGGCGGAAGGATGGCCCCGAAAGAGGACGTCTGGATCCCTGGGAACAGGCTGAAACCCATAGAAAGCAATACTAGGGTCTACCATCGTGGTGGTGGTGGTGAGAAACAGAATGCGTGTTATTCTTTATGGAACCTACAAAACACCTACTAAAGCACACTGATAATGTATGACGCAAGGGGCTTACTTAACTTATCGAATTTCCCACGCCACAAACTATGTTGTTCCTTGTTTACATATATTCCGCCTGGAAGGATCTGCCGTCAGGGAACAGCAACGTCCATCGCCATCGCCGCCATCGTCGTCGTCGTTGTCGACGCCATCCGCTCCTTCAAATTCCCTCTCTCCCTCCGTCACTATGATATCCTCGCTCGCTGTCCTTTCAGTGCTGACGACGGCGGTCTTTGCCCAGTCTTCTTCTGTGAGTCCCTATATGTTTCAAGATTCAAGATTTTTTTCTGATTCATGTCAGTCGTCGGCAGCCTCTGCATCGTCGACAAGCAGCCCATTAATTCCGTCGGGCATCAGCTCCACTTGTACCACCTTTCTTCAATCCTTGAACAGTAATTCCGACTTGGCCGCATGCACGGAAGCTCTGGCCGCTGCGACATCCGCTTACGCCCCAGGAAACTCATCATCGTCTTCCTCATCCTCCGGAATGACCAGCGTACTTGACAACATTGAATCCAATTCATGCGATGATACCGTTATTATCCCAATCATTGCGAATTTTGGAACGCAGTGCCAGACCGAGCTCGTTTCCAGCCCTGACAAGGCAGTCATTCTGATGTATGATACCGTCTATATGATGAATCCTTGGCTCCAGGTGCTTGTCACCAAGGATGACAATGGCACATTTTGTGTCTTTGAGTCCAACAGCGCCGCCACGAACAGCACCTCCAGCTCTGCATCGGCAAGTGGCTACAGCAATGCTGCTGCCGTTGTGTCTACCACTGACTTCTACGAAATAAGCAATAACCTTGTCGAGAACCTGGATTCGGGTAGCACGCTATCTCGGCGGGCACAAACTGTCGTTACCACTCCCAATGCGACTACTTGGACCACGCACGGCATTCCATTCCTCTTCTTCACAAGCTCGCTATCTTCATCTACCCTCTGCACCACCTGTGCCCGTAACGTTTTGACAGTTTGGATTTCATGGGAATCAAAGGTGCCATATGCTGCTGCTGCAAACCAGAGTGCTCTTCTGAGTGGCCTGACCAGCCTGTACTCGGCCATTCAGACTAAATGCGGTCAATCATTCCTTAGCGGAGCTGTTACAGCTGCGGGCGGCCTTGGTACCAGCAACGCTCCTCGCATGGTGACCAGTGGAAAAGGGTTGGTCAGCTTCGTTGCCGGTCTAGCGAGTCTGGCGGTTGCATCTGTCTTTCTTTAAGGGGTGAGAGGAAGAGAACGAAGGGGAGATCGTTGCTGGCTTTCATCGGACTTTCTCCATTCTGTTACTTCCTTTCCGATATTATCCTACCATTACTCGACCATAAAGCTTTATACCCGCTGGAGCGTTAGGTATCATTTGATTTACTTTTGGGATATCATTGGTATTGGATCTTCTTTTCTTCACAGTTATGGGTGATGTGCTTTTTCAACTTCCATACTGTGATTCACTTGCATCCAATCCGTATATATATATAGCCTCCAGCCTAAGAATTTATTATTCTGTCTTCATTTGTTGTAAGTTGTAACGCTCTACTTCTTGGCGGCTGGCATATGTATATCCTGGCTACATCATTTTTACGAGACGGTACCGCTTATGATGTGGGTGAGGGTACAGCCACAGCGACGCCTCTTCTACAACCACACCAATTCCCCAGTAACAGGGTTCCATACTTTTTCCTGAAATTTGATTCATTGAGTATTCTATATATTTCTCGGTAAGACAAACTATTCTCCCATTTACATCTCTGACTACTATCAATATTCTCAAGGTAACCTACGGCCGCCCCCGCGGGACACCGAGTATCTCATCCTTCTTTCGGTGCGGTGCAGTGCCCTAAACACTCTCAAGAATATGTCATATCAGACGTAATATTTCTCGGAAACGATAGGTATGGAATGGGCCGAAAATTGCCGGTGCGCATTACTGAACGTAAAGCTTTAATCAGTCCGAATGGCTTTGAGAAATGGCCGACGCACATTAAAGTTCCTGATAAGAGTTTTGTGGCGTGGCGTGCTGGAATACTGACTACGGGGATGAAGGAATAATCCAAGCACTGGCGGTGCGTGGTCTTACTCCCCCCCCCCCCCCCAGTATTTCTTTCAAGAAACAACACCATATAATTCAAGTTCGACAATCATTCAACACAGTCGCAGGCTACTTACTTACCTCCGCACCATATCCGAGTCCTGCCATGACGACCTGGTTATGAACCAGGATCCTGGAAAATCTCAGCATCCTTATCGTTCCGTGTTAGTGACCTAGATTTAACAGCTTGGCTGGAGTATTTGCCCTTGGCGCCTGCATGTCACACGAGAGTGGTCGCCGCCTTAAGGACGCGGTTTGAACAGGCTATCGATAAGGTCAAGGAGTTAGACGCACATACAAGCATTCAGGCAGGAGGGGGCGGAGTATGAGTCAGCAAAGGACTCAACGGCCCGCAAAATTGGCGTACATGCTTAAGGAAGAACATTTGTATATTTCTATCGGTCCCTTTGTCATGCTGACAAGCTGCATTCAGATGCCATGTATAGGCGGAGCAGGAGACGAAAGAGCCGCAGCACCAAGAAGCTAGCGCAGCTGACAAGAACTTACCTATTCTGAGGGTTTATTGACAGCTGTGAAGTACTTGCGCTGACCTTGCGGAATGATGAACTGGAGGACAAACGCAAGATGTTTTTTGCTGTGCTCTACAAAATGAGCGTTCGCCTTTCTATTTCCAGGACACGTCGCAGGTACGTACTAGGCCGTTGATCAGACCAAGACTATGGTAAATGATGTTAATATCCGCAGAGTTTCCTCAGCATGCCCCTGTCTGATTTCGCAAGAGCAAAGAGCCATTTAGTACAGTCGGACGGGGAAGAAAAGCCGATAATAAATTGCACGTAGTCACCGTTCCGCGGAATGTCACTGAAGATGAACCGAAACCGATACCACAAGGTCGGAAAGGCCTCTGAATTGATCAAACAGGGTATGATTTAAATTGACCAAGCTGTACCCATGTTGATCAATCGCTCTAGACGTCAGTGGACCTCTTGAGAAGGTAGGATAGGACGGAAAGTAGCCACATCCAGGATGGCCGCAACCTAGATCCGAGTCGTTCCAAATTTTTGCTTGAACAATCTCTTATTGTGAGGCTCCATAGAATGAGTAGTCCCGAAAACCTAAAATCGGGGGTGAAAAACTCGATGTCACAGGGATGAAGCGTATCTACTCAAGTCCAGGCCATCGAAGTCTTTGCTATTCTTGTCGTGTTAAGAACATAAACTAAGTATTTCACGTTTGGTGAGAATCAAATTAGTGCACTCCATATGGAAATATATCATTTAGACCCTATCGCGCAGGGATGAAGGCTGATCGTACGCGGGGCCTTCATATCGACATTAAAACCTACTTAATTTCTTACAAGCACCGTGAAAGAACCCGCAGAACGAGTGGAGCGGGTGGTGTACACTGTACCGAAAGGTGAACTCCGGCCGGCTTCTCATCATCATGCATCGTTCCCCGAATCCCGTCCGACACGTATCCTCAGATGAAAGAAGAACCTCAGTTAGCACCCCAATCGGCAAAAACGAACCTGAAAGAGACTTCCAGAATCATGTGTGCGCAATTTTTGAAACGATCGAGCAGTCCCCTGAAAATTGACAGCGCGCCTAGATATAATACCACCGAGGAAGAACACATCAGATCAATAGAGAACCCTGTTGGCTAAGACACGAGATAGTGGGGCGTCCAATGGCGGTGATAAGACTTATACTTATCCATCTCCTGCCTTAGATTGGTCCATGTGCTTCCCAAACACGCCTACACGAGGTGGCGGGAATTTTATGGATACCGGGTTAACCTTTCACGGTCTAGTGGCGCCGTCGTAGCCAATGTAGCACCGCCACTACTCAGCCCGATCAAAAGTCCACTGCCGCCGGTAGCGAAGGCGCAAATCCTTTTTGGCTTTCAATCGTGCGGCATTTCGTTGAACCGAGGGGTGCCTTTCACTGGTTCCTGTGGTTACGATTCTATCACTTTGACTGACCACACGCAACAACTCTGTTCTTGAATTGTGGTTTCATACTACATTCCAAACTTGTTTCCCAGCTTCGTTGCTAAGTCCATTGATTTGAAAAGGAAGATGGATCCGCTAACGATCTTTTTTAGTGTCAGTATTACGTTGACTCTCGAAAAGCGCTGCGCCACGTCGAGCTTCTAAAGTCTACCGTGCAACTGGACTTCGTGCCACCCGCGCTAGACCAGCAGACGCGACACACTTTGGATCTGGAAACGCAAGTGAAGCAGCTGACTCGGGGCCTCATAGAGGTGCAGCGGAAAACCAAAGCTGGGCGCCGTGAGTTTGAGGATTAAAAGACTCAAAGGCCCGGGGAAGGAAAATGTGGTCAAAGGTAACGGGGGAAAGGGATGAATCTCAGGCGAGGATTGACAAAGAGGAGAGGTACCTTATTCAAAGCTACGGCTTTATATCGCCGTGCTCATCAAATATGAGGAGTACATCGAAGCAAAATGTGGAGATGCTTGAGCTAATAATTGCTGAAGCCACAGCAGTGGTGCGTTGGATAATGTTCATTGTTGATGTCTGACAATGCTCCATAGAAAGAGGAACGGTCAGAGAATTTGGATAAATATACTTCACTGCATACAGAGTTGCAGGTTATGTATAGCTCGTTATCTGATGGACGTACGGACGGTGAGAGTATAAATGTTCATTGCATCCGAAAAGCTTGAGTAGCGAATGTATAATCTCCTCATAACGATGAGCTGGAGCAACAGGTTGCTATTGCTGGTGCAAGTGAATTCAAATACTCAGGTAGCCATGTTACTACGTCAAGCAGGGAGCAAGATGCAGTCGAGACAGAAGTCATGAAAGAGGCGGTGGAACTTTCTTGTATTCATATGGCCCGCTTCAATGCCCTTTCCTTATCCTCTGATTAGATATCAGTTCAAACAGTGAGTAAGTTGGCACTGCAGAGGGAAAATCTGCTGCACTCATGCTAGCTCAGTTGAAGTGATGGAACAATTAGCCCTCAGATAGGCAGAATTTTGTTCATCCCAAGCAAAGTATTAATCGAATATGCCCGGAATGTGTTGTCTCTAATCTCAAATTCGAGACACCCACGGCGTACGTTGGTCGCGTCCACTACAGGTGGGCTATTTACAAACCGACTTTGCAGGTCATTGTGGGACGGTGATGTATTCTTCGACAACGCAATGTCTACCTATAGCCATCGTACGTATTACTGCAGTTGCTTTCGGCGAAATATATCTCTTGAGGCGTAATATGCAGGCAGACGAAGGTCGCGGCTGAAGCACTGGATAAGGCCTACGAGCGCCTGTAAACAGAGCTCAGCGCGGCAATATTTCGAGCAGAGAGGCGGGCTGAATCAGAATCTGCTGTGATTTTCTGAGAGCCGTGGTCTTGACGCACTTAGGCAGGGAACTTTTGTAAAGACACCGGGGAAAATAGATCTTCGCTAACGTCGAGTACCGTCATCCTCGGGATCCGAGGCTGAATGTACACTAATGACAGATAATCTGTTTGCCGTTGCGCTAATATTGCGTGATCGCACTAGTACTGCCCGCCTTTCCAAGTCATCACAAATAAAATATTTTGTATTTTATGAGGGTCATGCTGGAAGCTGGGGAAAAAGAAAGATTTTAGACGTGAATGGTACAGTTAAACAAATAACGGCAATAAGTCTTTATCCACAGTCTCATATTTGGAGAATAAGAACAAGCAGTCCTATCTCCACCGCAGCAACAACACCAGATACCGCGAGTACTATCCATCCTGCCGTAATAAACGGCCGTCCAAAGACGCGAGTGTTCTCCTGCCCGACGGTCTGTATAGGGACTTTCGACATGACATTGGAATTCTCAGCATCGATGCGGGTGCACACGCTTTCCCCATCCACCTCCGGTTCCGGTTCCGACGATTCTGATTGAGGTTCTGTTTCCTGAGGGTCTGCAAAGTCATGCTGTGAATGACGGGCCCGCAGGAATGCGATGATAAACAGAAGACATCCTAGGATGGCGAAAAGAAGTCCGACTTTTTTGTCTCAGAATTCGGATGACTGGTTGAGACGGGGGAAAGACGTACTTTTGTAGAATCGGTGGTCGAAAAGGCGAAGAATGGTCAGGGCATAACCAAGGTTACCCATCGCAGATCGGGTGTAGGCCCCGTGAAATGTTCTTTGGCGCGCTCTGAGCTCAACGAGTTCACTCATATCGGTCGTGCTAAAGGATCCGGCTCTATGTCCCCTGCAAAAATTCGAACGTCACGATCTGTCGCAGAATTCCAGCATTAACACGTCATGATGCCCTACCTATATCGGCGGTGGGTGTCGCTCATGTTGGGGAAAAAGCAAAGAAAAAGATACGGCAAGTGGAAAGAGGTGAGATACGGATTCGGACCGTGGTAGTGTGGTACAGAGGGGCCTGATTTATTTCCAATTCTAATTCCGAAAACAGCAATGACCGCTTCGATCACATGATTTTCCTTTTTTTCTTTCCGAACGCAAAGTCAGCGACATCAGGACCTGAATCCGGCTCGTTACGGTGCTGTAGGACAATATTCCGGTGGGGGAATCCTTTCCAGTGCGATAGGAAGGCAATAATTGGATTAGAGCTTTAATATGCAGTGGTCTGTAATTGGCAGAAGCCAATGTCTCAAATTTTCTGTACGGAGGTACGCATGTTTTCGCCTCTTTTAAAGGACAAAATTAATACTCTTATGTTGTGATAGAGTAAATGGAATGATGTGTAATAGCGCTCTCAAGCGGCTGTCTTCGGTAGGTCACTACCTGTCTGATCTGTTTCGACTGAACAAGATTTGACAGACGAACAGCGTAAGCAGTAACAGATACGCGCTTCAAGCCTTCCTTGCTTCTCGAAACTTCTCCAGTACAACATTTCGGGCGTCTCCAGAATCCAAAATAGTAGACAGCCTTGCTGGCTCAGCTACAGCGACATTACCCGACGCACCAGCCTCCCCCGTACCCTCTTATGTTGTTGTAGAATCCTCGTCTATACCAACCGATGCTATCTCAGAAACTCTTAACGGCATCCCACCTCTCCAGTACGGTGACCTTGCCTCACTAGGCCTCGTCTCCTGGACACCTCCCTCATTCTTCCGTTTGATGTTTGAGGGGATCAACGTTACGACCGGACTGCCCTGGTTCTGGACTATCATAATAGGTTCCATCATCGCCAGAGGGGTCGTCGTTCCCTTCGCCATCAGCGCCCTCCGCCATAATCAGCGTCTAGGGCTTGTCTCCCCCCAATTGACAAAACTGCAAGAGCAGATGACTTTGGCGAAACAGAGGAAGGATACTGTGATGCAGCAGAAATCTGTACTGCAGATTGGCGCACTGATGTCGTCCGCCCAGGTTAAACCGATGATGCTCATCCTGGGCCAGGCAGTCACGTTCGCAGTATCGGTTTCCGCTTTCATGGCTGTGCAGAAGATGGGGGCCCTTCCTGTCCCTCAGCTCACCGAGAGCGGTTTCTCCCTCCTTCCTGATCTAACGGCGTCGATGCCCGTACCGATGAACATTCTAATCGGGTCTTCGATATTTTTGCAAATTCGAGTAGGCCTCAGCTTAGCGGTTAAAACGTTAAATCATGATTATATTTGCAGAACCAAATCTCGGAATCGACAACTTCAACGCCTGAGTATGTGGCCAGGATGAACGTCCTGAGTGTTTTCTTACCGGTGATGTCCACCTTGGCTATCTGGGGAACGGGAATGTCGTCTGTGAGTCCTCCGTATTTCAATTATTTCTTGAGCGCGCTCTGATTCGAGTTTATTCAGGCAGTTGGCCTATACCTGCTGGTAATGTCGACGATGTTGTCGCTTCAGTCCGTTATACTTCGGCATCCTGCTGTCAGGCAGCGGCTGGGCATACAGGCATTCAGAGATGTGACCTTCCCTAGCTTTGCACGTTTGCGGTCAGACTTCCGATCTGTCGCTAGCGAGTTGAAAGGGTGGTACCTGAGCAAAATTACGCCACAGCCGTCAAAGCGTTCTCAGCGACTAAATGTAAAGCACAGGCGATAGCATAGATTTATACCAATGTGGAACGCACTACAGTCGACTCTCTCATAACCTATAGCGGTCGGTGGACTCTTGGAGCTATGGGTTACAAGGGAGTATGGGGTTGGAGGGAGGTCATTGTAGGTCAACTTTGAGGCCCTCATAGGGGCTTATATTTTGTTAATAGGCCTATAATATAACATACATGCTATTTAGAAGTGAAGTAGCTTGTAATATGGCTGTCCTGAAGTGAATTAGTCTCTTCAAGCTTTGCTTTTCATCTGAACAAAGCCAAGATGTTTTCTAGGTTCTGAGTGAACAGATCATCCATGATCTTGATGCATTTTGAAGAGTTCTGACAGCCTGAAGAGCCTCATGGCACTTAGGACAAGGTTCCAACACGGAATCATCATCAGCATCAACATCACCTCTGAGTCCATTCTCATCAATGCCTTCTTCTGCACTCTGCAATGCCATCACTGCATTTTAATTTGACTCTCAAGTCAGTCATATGCATGCCTCTGGCTCATATCAAAATTCTTGAATGCAGCTCCAAAATCCTGTTACGATTTTTCCATTTCTTTTCCTTTTTACCCCTATTTATGCTTAGTCATAGCACGAGACCATGGGAAGGGCTTAGTAAGCACAACTATGC